TCTATTACAATTTAATATTTGGATGGAACATAAAGTTATTTAGTTATGATTAACTAGACTGATGATTAACTAGACTGGCATTTCAATTATCGTCCATAAATAAAATATACAGTGCACCTTTCAGAGGAGAAACAACTTTTCCTAGTCAGGAAAAGTTGTCTGCAGTTTTTAAACATGCAATTTTCTTATGTTTAAGAGACATAAAAAATACAAATAGTACAGCATATCTGTTACTTTAAATTATGGTTATTGCCTTTTTCAACTTATCATGCCAATGTCTTATATTCAGTGTATTTTGGTGAGCATTCAAAACTTTTATACAATTTTTTTTTACTTTGAATAGATGCACAGATTTTAGAAAACAAAATATTTGCTGTCAAAATTTTGAAAACACAATGCAGACTGTGAGAAATATCCAGAAATAAAATATATTAAAATGCAGATATAAAGATGCATGTATGTTTACAGTGTCCCTAGTTACCTACTTCAGCCATGTACAAAATGTTGGCATTTGAAATAGACTGTATTACCTAAAGGCAGTGAACTGTAAATGAAATATACATATTACATTTATAAATATATGAATACTTTTTTGATTTTCATCTATTTCAGTGTCAGTTCAATTAATTCATGAACAAATATGTGAAATGTGCAATCAAAACGTGAACCTAAGGCAAGACCTATACAGAATAGTCCCCCAATGGCACAGATTGGAGTGCTGAGCGTATATTTTAAGAAGCCAATGAATTGGACAATCTGCTTCAGACAATAATTACTTTAAAGACCCTTTAGCAAATGTCAGCAGAATTGGTTTGTAATTCAGCATGTCTCTTACTCTGAACATGGCCCCTAAAGGTTTTTGCACATGTCAGAATATCTACAAACAAAATTTGTCTCAGGGTGACTCTCCATGATTAACATTTCCCTTACTGTCTCTGACCAGAATAATCCCTTTTACTGAACTACACACCTTAGATTTCCTATCATGAACTGAAGATTAAAATCCAATATTTTCTATTTGTTGCTTTCTTGTTTTGATCTCTAAATGAAACACCTTGAAAGACTATTTAAAAAAACTAAGAAAATAGAAGGTTACAAATATAGCTCTTAGGGGTTATAGGAGTCAGTTAATTAAGGTTTATTGCAAAGATTTCTAATTATGAGAGTCACAGTCTTAAATCTAAAATCTTATTTATCCAACTAGAATCAGAATAATCAAGGAATGTTTCACATAACTACAGCTAAGTGGTTCGAAGTGATTTGGCAAACATTTTTTTACATTTGTTTAATTGTAAACAGATAATAAACAATTAAGTCAAGGTTGTTTAATGTAGTTTCCTTAATATTTCTTAAATATGAGAAATGATTACATGGATGAAGAGGCAATTCAGGGTAAACTTCCTCTTTATCCTCATCCTTCGCACTGCATATATTGAGCAGTGAAAGCATAATTCACACAACTGTCTACATATTTTGGTCTATAATATTTTATTTCCTTACTCATATGAGGGTCATCTCATGAACAATATTATTATGATGCTGATTTTCTTTTCCTTACTTGTGGCCCTGATAATATACCAGGATTTTCTGATAAATGCTGACTCTCTAACTTGTCTTGGCTAATTTGCAGACACCCATTCATTTCTCCAAAGTTTGATTTAAATCTCCAATTCCTTCCTCAAATCCTTCTGTACCTCTGCAATAGACCAACTACTTAGATGCTCTTGATACATTAGTTGTCAATGCTTCATCCCTCAACTGCTCAACCTTTCCTTGGTTCCTTCTACTTAAATTTTTTCCCCTTCTTCCAGCCTCATTTTGCCTAGTCATCTTCTAGTCATGTCTTAGCACAGAACTTAATTTAAATGTTGTTTCCTCAGAAAGAGCAGCCCTTATTCTCCGGACCTGGAGAATATGTGCTGTTCAAATGTCCTGAGCTTCTCTCCTTCATAGGACTTAACCACAGTACTAACTACATAATTGTCAAGTTACTTATGTATTATCTGCCTCCCTACCAGAGGGTAAGGTTTAGAAGGACTCACCAACTATTGTTCATCTGTTGAACAAATTAAAGGTTTATGAATAACACATATTGTTTTTGATTTTTAGTATAAAAACAATAATATGTAACCTATAGATAATGAAACAAATTATTTACTGTGGTCCCTCCAGTCTAATAAAATTGTAATGTGTTATCAAATAACTTTGAAAAATGCCTCTCAGGCACTTAAAAGATAATTTCCAAAGATAACCAAGTGAAATAATCAGAAAAACCTTCCTGTATCTGTAGCTATAAAAGTATTATCTCTTCAAGGCTGGTATACTATGACAACAGCTGAAGTTTGGTTCTTGAACATTCCAGTTTCTGTAAGCTCCTTTTACCCAACTAGGATCTGGCCTCTTTTGATATAAAAAGAACAACTGATACATCCACAGATGAATTGTTTCATAATGTTATCGTTGTCTGGAGCATTTGCATTTTTTCAAGATGTGAGTCTCTAATGTCAGAACTTCAGACACAAAGAGATAGAGGCTTCTTGATGTCTCTAAAAATTACGACATGGAGATTGTCACTCATGCATGTAAGGCTGGTCATAATATTTAATTATGCGTGGCAATATTTTAGTTCAATTTTGGACTTTTATACATTTTCCAAATAAAATTTAAAAATATGTTGATCCTTTTTATTACTAATCATACCTTAAAATAGTCAAATTACATTAGGAATAATCGCTCCTTAACATTCTTCAAGATAAATTTATTAGGGAAGATTGCTTAACAATATTATCCTTTTAAAATGTATAGTCTCAATATATAGATATTATAACTTATTCCATGTTTAATATACCTTCTGTTCTTACAGCAATACAGTTTTAATGAATTCCCTAATTTTTAAAGTGAGAATTTATATTCTATCTTCTGCTAAGTGGAAAAGTACATTAAGTAAACTTTCTTCTAATCCCAGAATGAAAGGCTGCTATATGTATGTATAAAATTATGATGCATATTAACATACATATTTTATTTGTAGATATATTGTTTTTATACTAACACAATTATTTATACGCTATAGTTAAGAATAGTTATGCTGGGATGTATTTTTTTTTAATTAGGTAGCAGCAAAAGAGCCTTAGAAATAATCTGCTAAAGCAGAGAGGAACAGAAGACCCTAATCTGTTCTATCCTGAAGGTACATTTGACAAGATTTTGTTGATACTATGGGAAAGAAGAAATAAGAATTCCATTTTGAACAAATGTAAAGCAACTTCTATGATGTAGAGCTATTTGTTAAATAAAGGGGAAAATTGCATAGTAAAGACAAAGATGATGATTGTGTGATACTATCTGTCTTTGCTTTATTTATTCGATGCATTTCTGAAGACATCAGCAATGTGAACTTATAGATAATATTTTGAATAAAATAGTCAATCATTTCAAATACGTTTTAGTAGAATATTAAAATTTCTTCTTGCACACTTTATAGGTTTAGCAATGTTTTTTAAACCCCTCCCCCCAATAATTATTGATTCACATCTCCCTACTAATCACTAGTCCCCGGGCACTAATAAATTCTCCAATTGTGCTATTTCAAGAATGCTATACAAGTGAATCCTACAGTATGCCACTTTTGAGATTGGCTTTTATACTCACCACTGTGCCCTTAAAGTTAATCCAAGAGCTTGTATCAATAGTCTTTTAATTGCTTAGTTGTATTCCAACACTTTCAATATACATTTAAAATATCAATATATGTTGCTTTAAGTGCATGTTATGGTCTCAACTGCATCCTCCCAAAATTCATGTTTCAGTCCTAACCTTGGTACCTCAGAATGTGACCATATTTGGAGAGAGGGTTTTTAAAGAGGTAATGAAGGTAGAATAAAATCACATTGTAGGCTTTTATCCAATATGACAATAACCTTATAAGAAGAAGAGACTAGGATATAGACACACACAGAGGAAAGACCATGTGAAGACACAGGGAGAAAATGGCTATCCATAAGCCAAGGAGACAGGCTTCAGAATGAGTTCAACCCTGCTGACACCTTGATCTCAGACTTCTAGTTTCCAGAACTGTGAGAAAATAAATTTCTGTTCTTCAAGCCCCTAGTCTATGGCATCTGTTATAACAGATCTAGAAGAATAAATACAGTGTATGAACACAGTTTTATCTTTTTAAATTTGTTTCATATGTATATTCATATGCAACAATGCTTTCTTCCATAAGAGAATCATTTGTGTATCCACATAATTTATGAATGCTTCTCAAAGGGAATTTTTAAAATCTCTGAAGCTTTTCCTTTATTACTCTGCAATATATTATTATTATGGAAGAATTAAAGAGAATAGACACTTATATAAAAATTATAGGAGTATTTGCACCTAACTTCATTGTGGTAAAAATCTATAGCGTTATAAAGAGAACATTTAACTGAAAGCAACTGGATTTTTAAAAAATATATAGTTTAACTACTTTTTACAAACTGCACCTAAATAGCAGCATTTGGACATATTCTGGATTGTTTTCTATTTATTTTCAGAGTAGATCATGGTTAAGTATGTTGACTAAAATCTTTTCACTATATAAGTATAAATTATAATTAACATAAATTCTTACTATTTGCTTTATTTGATATGGAAAAGGGATGGCAGCATAAATGGGGCAACAGAATTTCTATTCATTTAATTTTTTTATGTCTAACATTCATTAGTGATATGAACTGACACATTAAGATATATTGGATTATATAGGATTATATAAAAAACATAAATGTATAGACAACAAAGAGAAGCACTGTATCTAATTAACTTACTACTAAGAGGAAACATCAAAAATATCTTTCTGCACCTTAGGAAACAACAAGAAACAACAACCAGAAAATCGCCTCTGTAATGTATAGAGAATGCAATTGCACTTTAGTAAATATAGGTCCACCAAGAATGTTATGCATCAGAAGGGAATTAGGGGTCTGTTGTGAGAGAAGAGCAGTGGCACTTACCGTCTTGATCTGTGGTCACTGTAATGGCTGTGAATGGCTTGGGAGAAAAACTCAACTCAGAAACTCCATTCATGGCTTCTATTTCAAAGGTATAATTCACGTGAGACACAAAGTCAAGAACTATCACGGAATTGTTGATCAGGCCAGTATGTCTTGGGATGAAGCGGAGTCCTCCACCACAGTCCTCACACTGGCTGGTGTCTAAGCCACATTTCTTACAGATTACACTGTATGTGAGATCTTTTCTCCCTCCTGTGTCACTTGGTGGGCTCCATTCCAAAATAAGGGCTGTTTCATTGATGTTAAAAACCACATTCCTAGGAGCTGAAGGTGGCCCTAGAGAAAAGCAATTAAAAACAAATGTACATGTATAGGACAGTGAATTAATAGTGCTAACTTGAAAACTTCATCAATAAACACTTATTGGTCTTTTATATTAGTTTGAGCTCTTTCTTCTGATGGGAACCATAAAGAACCTATGGTTAATAACATCTGATTAAGTCCAGTAACAAAGGAGTCTTTAGGGGTGAAGATAGTCTAGAATCTAAGAGGGCAATTCTATTTTTCTAAATTTGGGGATTGAAAATATATAATAATCAAACATTTTAAATTATGTGAAGGTTTTGATTACATCTTAATAATTACTTCACCATTTTCAAATAATTAAAAAGGAATATTAACATAAGTATAAGTTATAACAATACATGTATATTCATGTACTCAGTCCTTCAGTCTTCATACTATGCTTGGTATGTAGATAAAACTACCATTCATTACCTTTGACAATCCCTAAGTATCTGTTTCTCACAGGTTGAAAATAAATGACCATAAATTTAGGGTGAAAAGAAAGTTTGGAAGAAGAGGAAGAGAAAGGGAAACTGGAGGCAGGAGAAAGGTTTCTATTAGAGCCTTGCCAATTTCATGGGATAAAAGCATTATTTGGGAGAGAAAAAGGACATAAGAAATGGTGACTAGATTTTTATTGAGACTAACTTTATTAAGCACAAGTGTCTTCTGAAAAGCTGATACAAAGACCTACACAATCTCTTATTTGTCATCAAGACTCTACATAAACCAAGTTGGTCCCAAGGAGTAGGTGAGCATGTTCCCTCAGTGTTCCTTCTCACTATTTTAACAGACTAAAATCCTTTAACTCTTCCAGCCTTTTCTTAAAGTTTTATCAATACTGTTTTACACTCATCTGAGTCTTTCAAACCTCAGTATAATATTATTTATTGAAAAATACTAACAGAAGTTCTACTAGGTGTCAAACACTGCAATATGTGTTATATGAGAAATACCAAAGAATCCTTTTTGTGAGATTATGCTTATAATATACTAGAGGCCCGGTGCACAAAAATTTGTGCACTCAGGGGGGAGAGGGGGGTCCCTCAGCCCGGCCTGTGCCCTCTTGCTGTCTGAGACCCCTCAGGAGATAATGACCTGCTGGCTTAGGCCTACTCCCGGGTGGCAGAGGGCAGGCCCAATCCCTAGGTGTAGCCCCTGGTCGGACTCAGAGCAGGGCTGATTGGGGAGTTGGGGTGCCGCCCCCTGTCATGCACAGAGCAGGGTGGATCAGGAGGTTGCGATGCCACCCCTAGTCACGCTCAGGGTAGGGCCGATTTGGGGGTTGGGGCACCGCCCCCTGTCACACTCAAGGCAGGGTTAATAGGGAGGTTGCGGCACCACCCCCGGTCACGCACAGAGCAGGGCCCATCAGGGAGGTTGGGGCTCCGTACCCTGTCACACACAGAGCAGGGCTGATCAGGGGGTTGAGGAGCTCCCCCCTGTCATGCACAGAGCAGGGCCGATCAGGGAGTTGAGGAGCTCCCCCCTGTCACTCACAGAGTAGGGCCGATAGGGGAGTTGGGGCACCGCCCCCTGTCACACACAGAGCAGGGCCGATCAGGGGTTTGGGGCGCCGCCCCCTGTCACACTCAGGGCAGGGCCGATCAGGGGGTTGGGCACCACCCTCTATCACCGACAGAGCAGGGCTGATCAGGGGGTTGGGGTGCCGCCACTGTCACACACAGAGCTGCAGGGCGATCAGGGGGTTGGGGAGCTCCCCCCTATCAGGCACAGAGCAGGGCTGATCAGGGGGTTGGGGCGCCTTCCCCTGTCACGAACAGAGCAGGGCGGATAGGGAGGTTGTGGCCCTGCCCCCTGTCACACACAGAGCTGCAGGGCGATCAGGGGGTTTGGGCGCTGCCCCCTGTCACGCTGATCCCGGTGCCTGGAGGCATATTACCCTTTTACTATATAGGATAGAGGCCTGGTGCACGGGTGGGGGCCGGCTGATTTGCCCTGAAGGGTGTCCTGGATCAGGGTGGGGGTCCCCACTGGGGTGCCTGGCCAGCCTGGGTGAGGGGCTGAGGGCCATTTTCAGGCTGGCGGGTGACCGAAGCTCCCAACCTGTCCTTTTTTTCTTTTTCTTTTTTAATTCTGGGCCAGCTTTAGCTCTGAGGCTTGGCTCCAGCTCTGAGGCCTTGGCTGCTGAAAACAGGTTTTTGGCCTTTGTTTACCTTCTGTATTTGAAACAATGTTGCGGTCCTGCTGGCTGAAGCCAGGCTGTCTGAAAGCAGGTTTCTGGGGTTTTGTTTAGCTTCTATATTTGTTACAATGTTGCTTAGAGTGCAGCTCAGAGGCCGGCAGCAGCAGGCGGGGGACCTGGCTTCCTCCGTCACTGAAGCAAGCAAGCCTCCCTGATCGTGTCAGCTGCCTGACTGCCGGCCGCCATCTTGGCTGGCAGTTAATTTGCATATCACCCTGATTAGCCAATGGGAAGGGTAGCGGAGGTACGGCTAATCACCATGTTTCTCTTTTATTAGATAGGACTAGAGGCCTGGTGCACAAAATCTGTGCATGGGAGGGGGTCCCTCAGCCCAGCCTGCATGCTCTCCAATCCGGGACCCCTCGGGGAATTTCTGACTGCCAGTTTAGGCTGGATCCTGGAGATCAAGCCTAAACCAGTAGTTGGACATCCCTCTCACAATCCTCGACTGCTGGCTCCTAATCGCTCACCTGCCTGCCTGCCTGGTCGCCACTAACTGCCCCCCCCTGCTGGCCTGATTGCCCCTCACTGCCTCAGCATGCCAACCTGATCGCCCCTAACTGCCCCCTCCTGCCAGCCTGATTTCCCCTAACTGCCCCCCTGCTGGCCTGGTCACCCCTAACTGCACCCCACACCGCCGGTCTGGTTGACCCCCAACTACCCCCCTGATGGTCTGGTCGCCCCATGCAGTCTGATATTCAGTCGTTTGGTCATCCCTCACTAAACCCCCTGCTGGCCTGGTCATAGGCAGCCATCTTGTGAGGGAATGAGGGTTAATTTGCATATTACCTCTTTATTATATAGGATATAGGGGGGTTCCCACACCCGGCCTTGCCGTGTGCCTGCCTCCAGAGTCCCCCAGCCCCCTCAGCCCCCCAGCCGCCCAGGGCCGGCCCAAGGCACAGGCAAGCCTTGGATGTTGGCTGCCCAGCCACCCAGGGCCGCCCAAGGCTCAGGTAACCAGGGCCGGCTGAGGCTTGCGCTGCTGGAAGTGGCAGCAGCAGAGGTATGATGGGGGTGTCACCTTCCCCTGATCACTGGGTCGCCTCCCGCCCCTGAGGGCTCCCAGACTGTGAGAGGGGGCAGGCCAGGCTGAGGTACCCCCCCTCCAGTGCATGAATTTTCACAGTAATAAAATAATTCTTGACTTTTTCTGTCTGACTTATCTTACTTAGCATGATATTCTCAAGATCCATCCATGTTGCAAATGGAAGTATTTCACCTTTTCTTATGGCTGAGTAGTTTCCCATTTTATACATGTACCACATCTCCTTTATCCAATCATCTTTGAAGAATACTTTGGTTCCTTCCACGTCTTGGCCACCATGAAGTAATCTTTTTAAAAAAGAGTGTTTGTGTAGGGAATGGCCTTAATGAGGACAGGGAACTCCTCAGTGAGTTCTGTTATATGGACGGTGTCAGAGTAGCAAAACATTAGTCATAATCTACATGACTGTGTATTGGGTTTGAGATATAAGAAGTGTTATTATATATATATATATTTTTTTTGGTTACCTGAGGATATTTTTTCCCATTGGTTTTTAGAGAGAGTGGAAGGGAGGGAAGGAGAGAGGCAGAGTGACAGAGACAGAAACAGATATGAGAGAGACACATCAATCAGTTGCCTCTGGCACACGCTCCAACCAGGGAGGGGATCCTGCAACCCAGGTGCTTGCCCTTGACCAGGAATTGAACCTTGGTCCACAGGCCAATGCTCTAATCATTGAACCAAACTGGCCAGGGCTATTTTCCTTTTTCATTTTGCTGGCTCCTGATATCAGCAATATGATGGGTAGGGGCCTCAGCCATCTAGTCCTAGAAATGAGATGGTTAGTTTTCCTAAAAGGTTTCTGCATAAGTTGCTTTATGCATTTTATGTTCCAGAGAGCTACAGAAATGTCTGCCTTCAGAAAGGAAGATATGGAAGGGATTATAAACTAGAGCACAGGGACAAGTGTAGCTTTTACCTCCAACCTAGACTTATGCCTGGGAGATAAAGATACATTATCATTACCATAATAATGTCTTCCTACAGATGGCATATTCATATTGTTGCTCTTTTGTCTTATTTATAATGGAGATCATGAATTATTATTCACTTATATTTCCCTGAATAGGAAGAATGTTATTAATTATCTTATGGGTGTCTGCAAGTATATGACTGTCCGCTTGGAGATACTTTAAAAAAAAAAGGCAGATACCCTTCTTACTCAAGGGTCCTCATATCAATTTGCATGACAATTAAATAGCTTTTTAATTGCTGTTAAATTGTGCCAGCTAAACTGTGATTTCATGCAAATATTAAGCTGTAATGACATGCAGTGAATCATTTACTAAGATTTAGAACTTGGAACAAAGAGAGACAATTAATTCTAATCCTCAGATTCAACTAAATTATGTGTCACTGGACTTTTATGAATGTGGCCTGATTGCTTTGTTATCATTTATAAATTATACAAAGATTATGAGACACATTGGGGGGGGATCCCCTAGGAGCAATAACCCTTTTGGAGACATCTGTATTCAAATTTTTCAGGGATTTCCTTATTTTCATTTTGTTTTTTCTTTAAGAAAATCAAGTAATTCACATAGAAGAAAAGCAATCTTTACCCTCCAGAATGACTTCATAGGAAAAGGGCAATTATTCTGATTTGCAAATAGCTGTTTTCTAAGCTCATCATATAATAAACCTTACATAAAAACTACAATTTTATTTTTACTAGTATACTAGAAAATATATTTTCATTCTTCTTCCCTTTTTTGTTGTTGCTTCAATTTTGATTCT